GATATTTAGGCTAATATTTTAGAAAATCAACATAAAAATATGACCTAAAAAAACAATGATGGTATAAGCTATTGAGATAAGTCCACATAAAATTTAGAATATCGAGTTATAGCATGTCAAAACAACATTGATGTAAAAAAAAGCATGTCAAAACAACATTATAATTAAAATTAAAATTTAACAAAAAAACACTTATGTAAAAAATATTAAATTAATATATATGCTACCTATTTGGAAAATCAATAACAAAATAGCTTAATTAAAAATATATATGTTTTAAGTATATCAAACATGCAAAAAAATATATAAATTAAAATAAAATATAAAATTACTATTAAAAGATATGTAAAATAACAAACAAACAAAATCTAAAAAGAAAATTAGGTTAAAATTTAGTTCCAGAAAATTTATGATTTCTAAAATATTGGTATTCACTATCAATAACCATATAAAATTACAGTATGTTATACGAGTTTCTAAATCAAATATATTATTTAAATTTACAAAGACTAATATTTTGGCTACGTCTGATTTAAAAACTAAAAAAAAAATACAACACAAGTAACTCTACATTCGAAATATAACAAGTAATAAAGTCTGATTTTTTTATACATAGCTACTACTTGTAACTTAGCCAACATGAACAGCACATGAGTAACACTTTCTAAAATTTTATTTAAATAATAATGTATGACAATGTTATGAATCAAATTCAAATTAGAATATATCTATATAAACTATTCAAATTAAAACATGAATAAAACACACAAAAGATAAAAACAGTGAAAATAATGTGAAGACTCCACACTATCTTACATGTTTTTTTTTAAAAAAATTATCAAATAGTTAACTGCAAATAAAACAGATTTTATAAATTAAATAGAGATATAACATAAACTTCGTAGAAGATCTGATGGAGAAGCAGAAAAAGCTTTACACAACTATTGTAGCATCCTAACAAAAGTAAATCTGAATCAACGTGAATCATATATTATGTATGCATAGTTACACAACATCAGTGAAATATTTAATTAATAACTAAATATTTGAACATATAAAATTTTAAAGAAGAACAACTGTAGAAATCCTAAGGATACAAGATGAAATACCAACAGTTTAGTAAGAAAATCATTTTCTAAATCAAATATATGCACGTCGAAGTTGAATAATTCGTTAGGTGTCATTACTATGATTAGACTTAATAAGATTTTAAATTTTCTAAGCAAAAAATAGGAAAAACTACAGATTATATTTTAAAATTTTTATATAAAAGAATATATAAAAGTTGATGGCAAATTGCATTGAGGGCGTCTACATGGGATTAAAAAAATCGATCTGATTAGTCTACATCAGCATATTAATTAAATAAAAAAATGTTAAGTATGATTAGGACAAAAAACTTGATTTAATTGGTCCACAGTAGCTTTTTAATCAAATTAAAAATTATTAAGTATAACTAAAACACTAAAAGTTAATTTAACAAATTATGTCCAACAAAAAAAGTAAATTCAATCCGATTGATCCAAATCAACATAATTATTAAATAAGAAAATGTTAATATGGTTTAAAATTTTTAAAGTTAAAGAAAATAAATTAACAATTAACAATACATGTATCAAAAAAGTAACCATTATCAATTATCAAATCAAAAAAATCTACAACAACGCGATTTAACAATTAAAACATTCAAAACTGAATAAAAATATAACATAAAACTTTGGAAGACATGATGGAGAAGGAAAAAATAGTTTTGTATGAACATTACAATTTCCTAACAAAATTAAATGTGAATCAACATGAATCATGGATTATATATGCAGTGGTACATAACATCAATAAGACTTTCAATAAAAAAACTAAATATTTGAACACATAAACCTTCAAGAAAAAAAGAACTATAGAAATTCTATGAAAAACAGAAAATAATACCAAAATCTTAGCAATATTATATTTCTCTAAATCAAATGTATATGTACGGCAAAATTGGATAATTCGATAGGTGTCAATGTTATTATTTTACTTATTAGTGTTTTAAAATTTATAAATAAAATAGAATATATTACACATTATATATTAAATTCTCTTATGTAAATAATTTTTTTATAAATATATTATATTCTTAATAATTTTTAAAATGGTAGCTAAAAAAATTAAACCAAAATATTAATACAGACTCGCGCGTAGCTAGAGTTATATACCTATTATAATATATAAAAGTTGAAGGCATGGTGCAATGAGAGCGTCCATATGGGATTAAAAAACTCGATCTGATTGGTCCACATCAGCACATTCATTAAATAAAAAAATGTTAAGTATGATTAGGACAAAAAAAGTTGATTTAATTGGTCCACATCAGCTTTTCAATCAGACCAAAAATATAATTAAAACATTAAAAGTTAATTTAACAAATTATGTCCAAAAAAAAAAAAGTAAATTCAATTCTGATTGATCCAAATAAACATATTTATAAAATCAGAAAATGTTAATATGGTTAAAAATTTTAAAAGTTAAATAAAAAAAATTAACAATTAACAATACATGTATAAAAAGTAACCATTATCAGTTATCAATTTTAAAAAATCCACAACAACTCGATTTAACAATTAAAATAATGAAAACTGAATAAAAATATAACATAAAACTCTTGGAAGACATGATGGAGAAGGAAAAAATGGTTTTGCATCCTAAGAAAATTAGATACAAATCAACATAAATTATGGATCATATATGCAATGGTACACAACATCAATAAGACTTTCAATTAAAAACTAAATATTTGAACACATAAACCTTCAAGAAAAAAAGAACTATAAAAATTCTATGGAAAACATAAAATAATACCAAAATCTTAGCAAAATTATATTTTTCTAAATCAAATGTATATGTACGTCAAAGTTAGATAATTTGATAGGTGTCATTGTTATTATTTTACCTAATAATTTTTTAAAGTTTATAAATAAAAATAGAATAAATTACATATTATATATTAAATTCTCTTATATAAATGAAAATTTATATAAACATATTATATTTTAAATAATTTTAAAGATATTATCTAAAAAAAATAAACCAAAATATTAATAAAGACTTGCGCGTAGCGCAAATTATATACCTAGTATAATTTATAAAAGTTAAAGGCATAGTGCATCGAAGGCGCCGACATGAGATTAAAAAACTCGATCTGATTGGTCCACATCAGCATATTCATTAAATAAAAAATGTTAAGTATGATTAGGACAGAAAAACTTGATTTAATTGGTCCACATCAGCTTTTAAACCAAACTAAAAATTATTGAGTATAATTAAAATATTAAAAATTAATTTAACAAATTATGTCCAACAAAAAATTAAATTCAATCTGATTGATCCAAATCAACATATTTACTATATCAAAAAATGTTAATATGGTTTTAAAATTTAAAAGTTAAATAAAAAATTAACAATTAACAATTAACAATACATGTATAAAAAAGTATAAAAATCTACAACAACTCGATTTAACAATTAGAACAATGAAAACTGAATAAAAATATAACATAAAACTCTTGAGAGACATGATGGAGAAGGAAAAAATAGTTTTGCATGATCATTACAGATTCCTAACAAAATTAAATGCGAATCAACATGAATCATGAATTATATATACAGTGGTACACAACATCAATAAGACTTTCAATAAAAAACTAAATATTTGAACACATAAAATCTTCAAGAAAAAAAAAACTATAGAAATAATACTAAAATCTTAACATGATTATATTTCTCTAAATCAAATGTATATGTATGTCAAAGTTGGATAATTCGATAGGTGTCATTGTTATTATTTCACCTAATAGTTTTTTTTAATTTATAAATAAAAATAGGATAAACATACCAATGTTTTAAAAAAACTAATCAATATTTAAATATTACAATTAACTATGTATACCAAAAAAAATTATATCCGCGAGCCAACCACCTAGTACTTATGCAGTTTGCTTCTTCTTCCTTTCCTTCATCTGATGCCTTCAAAACCCTTCATCAACTTCCACTGAGAAAGCTTGAGAAAGTTGATCCGACAAGGATGACTCAAGAAGAGAAATTTGCGTTCTGGACCATCATTCATAACGCTATGGTGATGCACTTAACGTGATGAACACCAGGCACAATGATCTTCAGGGTCTTAGGGATCATTTTCTTCTATCGTTGTAATGTGTGAGAGATACTGATCATCTGAGATATACCAAGAAGTTATATATTAAACACATGTAGGAGTTTTATGAATAGAGAAAAAAAGCTTTAAGAAAAAAACGCCTGTACATGTCGAGAAGAGTCAAGTTGCAGAAAGAGAGCGATTAAAAGAATTATTGCAAAGAGACACTCAAGTGGAGTTTGCACTTGTACCATATCAAAAACATTCAAGCAACATCTCTGTTGCTTTAGGGGTGAGGAAGAATGACATACCAGAAATGGTGAGATAGACTAAAAGAATCCCTTAAGAATGCAACATCTCGTCTCTGTCGCTTTCCCTTCTTCTTGTTGGATTTGTACGGAGATTCGAGCCTCAAGTTTGGAGTTCTGAGTAGTGAAAGATCTGTGACATGGATGAGTTATAACAACTCTTTCCACGGCTTGTACTAGACTCAACAGCAAAGTTGTATCTCGTTATTTCAATATGGTTGTGACGGTATCTCAATATCTGTATGACTGTCTGGTTCGTTGCCTCAGTCTCTGCTACGAGTTGAAATAAGCGTTGCCATTCCTTGGCAAAACGGCAAAACATCTGTGATTTAACATAAAAAGAATCGATCAGTAGTAGCAGACATACTTAAAATCAAACTGGACAAGTAAAGTTTAACACATAAACAACAAATCACAGAAAATTGGATAGATACTATCCATAGATTTTGCATTACGGCCGAGTAAGACATAAAGCCGATAAGAGCACCTTACTGAGTGAGTAAGTATTCTTACCCATCAACTATTATTAAGGCGAACCCACAAAGAGTGGAGCCCTTTGACTAAATGAAATCTGACATTCTCATAAACTTCATCTTTTTGAGTCCTTTGAATCTTTCATCCCTTCTCAACCTCTCTTCCATTTCTGGTACTTTAAACGAGTTGCCGAACACATTTTTAGTACCCTGAAAGAATACTTTTAGAGGAACAAATCAGTAGTAGCTTAAAGACATATATAATGATGCTGTAAACTAAAAACTTACAGTTTGATCAATAAGTACGCTGCAACCCTCCCTAGTATCAATCAAGAACTGACGATTTGCAGGCTGGTTAATGAGTGGCCCGAGAGCTATGTCTCTGCCTATATTTTGCAGCACATCGTGCATACTTATGACTCTCTCTTTTGATATCTGTATTAGAGAGTTATAAAATAGAATCTTAAGACTAACTCCAACATACAACTCACTGTTTTCCAGCAATTGCATCACATTCTTATATGTCTCATTATTCAGAAAGCAAGCAATATGACGAAACAACGCTTTCTCCTTCCCATTTAGACCATCGTAGTGCAGTTTTAGTGTTTTCTCACTTTGAAGAATATTACGAATACTGGGCTGCATCTCAACATAATGACTTAACTGAAAAGAAACATCATTAACAATTGGGGGATCATGAAACTCTGGTTTAAAGTTTAGTTGAAAAGAAATATCATCAGCAATTGCTTCAATCATATCTACTTCGTAAGCCCTGATAGGAAGAAAGATGATGGCACAATCAATATGGAGTAAATAATATGAAGAAATGAACATCCATGAAGATAAAAATTAACAACTTACCAGTCTCGGGAATGATACCCCTTACGTCGTCTTACTACACTTAAAGCGTGCACCCAATTTTGTTGCTTCTCGAAGGTGAAATCATTGTATAAGATCTGATTCATGATATAAGAAGGACTCACACCATAAAAAACGGGTATCACTTTTTGACCAATCTCTTTTCGGCAGTCTATGATCTCCACTAACTCATTGAAGCACCATTTCGAAGTAGCGTACTTCTTTGAAAGCACGACTAGAGCTATTCTTGATTTTCTAATCCCAACAAGATTAAGGGACAGGTCCTCGCCTGTCTCAATCTCATGGCCCATAAATATAGTGATTCCTTCGCGACTAAATGCGTTATACAAGTGGCTGACTAAACTTCTGCGAACATCTTCTCCACGGAAGCTTACGAAGACGTCATACTTCCACTTGCAAGAGGGAGAACCATATGGTAACTGAGTGCGGATATTGCCTCTTGCTGTTTCCACTGGGCTTAAAGAGTCATAAAAGCTCTCTTCAATAAAAGAATCAGAGTCTGAAAAGAATATCACCTCAAGATCTTTCAGTTTCGAAATGTTTGGAGATATATATTTTAAGTTACTGCAACCGTTCATCAATATGTAACTGAGCCCAGAGATGTCTTCTATCCACCCAGGCACTTCTTCAATCTCCGTCTCATCTAGAATAAGAGACGTAATATTCTTTGAAATCTGAGGAAAACTTCTCAACTGTGAGCATCTGCTGAGATTGAGGGAATGGAGAGACTCCAGGTCGATGTTGGTTGGAAGCCACTGTAGTTTTTTGCACCTTTTCATGTCTAGCTTCCTGAGTCTGTTCAGATTCCGAATAGAGGAAGGAATCATCACCAGACTCCAGCAATCTACAAGATACAATTCCTCGAGACTTGTAGCCTCTGAAAGATCTGGAACTTCTTTCAGCTTTTTAGATCTCCGCAAATCCATCTTCTTGAGGCTTTTAAGCAGCTGAATCATAACACAAGAAAAAGTCAAACCAGAACTCAAAAATATGTCAAAGATGTCACAAAATGGTTCATTTAACAGATTTCTGTTTTGGCCTTCATCCATTACTCTTGTTTAAAACTGCATTTGCAAAATTTGATTACTGTCTTTCGTTCAACAAGTGTGAAACTTATAATAAGTAAAAAAAAACAGGAACACCATCGTTTCAATCAATTACTATATTTAAAAGCATTCAAGCCCCTTACCTGAACTCTTTCCCACAGTTTCTCAAGGTGACTATCCGGCATTCTAAGTTCAACGAGATTTTCTGGACGAAAATTAGAAGGCATGCATCTCATTGAGCACCCCCACCATTCCGGTAATCTAAGTTGGGGCCACATAGGATCTTTGCCTCCCTGCAAATGCATGCTTCTCGTTAAGAACCCCCACCATTCTGATTCTAGTAATCCAAGTTGGCGCCACGTAAGGTATTTGCCTCTCTGTAAGACCCCATAGATTTTTAAAAATCAAAGGTTTTTCATCTTGCTGAATGCTTCCTCACTAATAGATAACGTCTCCTCGATTTCAGATAAGTTCAAAAAGATGCCTAAAACACGTTTAGTTCCCTAAATAAGTATTGGAAAGACCAAATGTGTTAGTAACACGCTTAAAACGAATTGAGTGAGGGAAACCATGAATAACTAGAAACTTACAGTTCCTTCAAAGAGTACATCAAAAATCTCTTTAGAATCCATCAAGAATTGACGTTCTCCAGGCTCCAGAATACATGGTTGACGGACGATTTCTCTACCCATTTTTTTGCAGGAAATCGTGCATCCTAATGATCTTATCCTCAGATATCTTTCTGAGACACCGTTCAGCTAGAGTATCAAGTCCAACATCAACATCCAGCTTACTATCTTCAAGCAACCCTATCACGTAGTCACGTGGTTTATGATTGAACAAACAAGCGATGTGAAGAAATATTGCTTTATCTTCTTCTTTTAACCTACCATAGCTGTCTCTTAATGTTTTCTCAATTTTTCCAGCCATGCTATCTCTGAGCTTAGGCAGCCTCTCTGCCCACTCCTCCTTCTTCGTCCTTGCCAGGGATGAACCTAGAAAATTGAGACACAGTGGGAGGTTCCTGGTGACCTTTGCAGCTTTAATAGCCACCAGGTGGAGAGTCTTGCCCGAATGCACAGCGACAGAACATTTGGAAAGCTAGTTCTTCAGACGGGAAACCCACCTCATAAATACGACCAGATTTAATTCCGCGGGCCCTTAAAAGCTCCCTATCCTTTGAAATAACAATGATTCTACTACTTGGACCAAACCATGTAGTTTTCCCCACCAAGGCATTTAAGAGGACTTGATCATCCACATCATCGAAAACAACAAGAACTTTCTTCTGCTCGAGCCTTTCTTTCACTGCCCTTAAACTATATATCTTTATGTCCTTCTGGTCCAAAATCTCAGACAGAAACTGTGTTTGCAAGTACAACTTGGTGTTGTAGTTGTCTGAGTTGGCTTTTGTATAGTTTTCCTTAGTCTTATCAATAAAAATGCTTCCTTGAAACTGACAGGACAGTTGACTAAAGAGAGCTCGCCCGATGGTAGTTTTGCCAATTCCAGATGGACCCCAAATCCCAACCATTATCACTTTCTCTGATTCCAATTCCAATAACGAATTCATGTTTTTCATGTGATCTTCAATTCCAACAAAGGCAGCAAAATCATTGGATGATGTAGAGTTCAGTTGATTTGAAACATCATTGACGATTTTCTCAATCATCTTTGCTTCGTCGGACCTAACAAAGATGATGACACAATAGCAAAAGCATGAAGTAGATAGATAGATGATGATACAACACAATGGCACAAGCACGGAGTAGATAGATAGATGATGATACAACACAATGGTACAAGCACAAAGTAGATAGATAGATAGATAGATAGATAGATAGATAGATAGATAGATAGATGATACAAAACAATGGCACAATCATGAATTAGATAGATAGATGATGATACAACACAATGGCACAAGCACAAAGTAGGTAGATAGATAGATGATGATACAACACAATGGCACAAGCATGAAGTAGATACATACTAAGGGAAGCCGAATCTTAAAAAGAGAATCCAAATTAGGAAAGTACCATCTCCGAGAATCCTCTGCGGCTATGGTTGCTGCGTCGGTCAACGCTTTCCCCCACCGAAGTCTCTCTTCCTCTTTTCTACCTACGCAAGTGCCTTTGAAGATCTCTCCGAATCCGTCGGATTGTTTCTTGACATGAGAAGGATCCACCTCGTAGAAAATTGGTATCACGATTTGGCCTCGCTTTTCTCGGCACTCCATGATTTCCACCAACTCATCCAAGCACCAGTTCGAACTTGCAAAGTTATTGGAAAACGCGACAATCGAGATCCTTGATCCTCTAATGGCGATGGTAAGCTCAGGGGCGATAGATCGGCCTCTTTCAATCTAATCGTCCCTGAAGGTGATCAATTTGCGGTCGAGCTCCTTGAGAAAGTGGGAACGGAATTTGCGGCGGACATCTGCCCCTCTGAAGCTGAGGAAAAAATCGTGTCCACAATTGACCGTCGGGGAAGAAGATGAGGAAGAAGCCATGCAAAACAACAAAGAGAACTGGAGAAGCAGAAATCTCAGGAATGATTCTTTGGGAAATCAATTTGTGTACACGATGGCTTTATACAAGGCTTGAGACAAAGGGGGTGGAAAATTTTCAAATTTCGGGGTAGCATCAAGTGGATAATTTAATTAAAATGTTGTTGACAAAGAAAAAAAAAAGGATAATTTAATTAAAATGCATATGTTAAACTTGATTTTCTGGCTAATTCGTTCGATCGTGTGATATACATGGAAGAATCAATCATTCCTTTCAGTCGAGTTATTTAAACCTCTCGTGAAGCGTCTTATTCAGATATTTATTCTTTTAACTAGTTCAGGAAGAATTTGCAATGTAAAAGTGGAGTTCCGCTATTACTCACGTTAGCAGAGTTTAGGTAAATGGGTACGAGAGAAAAAGGTTATTCTGCACTTGGAAGAAGAACTAGAAAAAGGAAAAAATATAGCCCTTCCTTAACTATAGAGAGGAGTCAAATCACGTTCTAGTTGATCATCTTCTCTCTACGAATCATTGAAGTTATGTTAAAATGGGCCTAAATTTCGTGAGTGTAAATGGGGTTTAAATTAATAAAACCCATTTTACCAAAAAAGGGAAAATGGAGTCATTCAAATTGTGAACTTATTAAATTATGTTGACTGAGATGAATCAATATAACGTAAATTATGTTGACTGAGATGAATCATATCTATTACTAATAAAAATTGATGCTAAATGCCTCTCTAAGGGTGTCCACATAGGATTTAAAGATTTAATTTTATTGGTACACATCATCATTATTTTTAGTTAATTATATATTGTATATTAAAATTAATTAATTTGTTTTAATTGTTATAAAGAAAATTTTTAAATGTTAATTATTTTTTTTTTGTTTTTATTAGGAAAGTTTCTAAATTTTAAGTTAGTTATTAATAAAAAAGAGTTTTGAAAATAAATCTTATTTTTCTATTAACAATAAAAAGGTAAATTAACATATAAATATATTATGAAAGAAAAATGACATATATTGAACAAATTATAAAAACTGTATTTAAAACTATAATTAAATTATCTTAAAATTTTAATCACGACAAATAATTTAAATCTGAATTGCTAACTTAAAATATATTAGTTGTGGTCTGTGTTGATGTCTTAGGCCAATAAGAGCATCCACATAAGACATATATACTCAATCTGATTAGTCTATATCAGCGTTTTCCAATAAACATAAAAAATAAAAAATATTATTAATAATTTAAATAAATTAAAACATACAAAAATATAAAATTATCACAATAGAATAAAAAATTAAGATATACTTTTTTAACTAAATAAAATAAATTTATGTCAAAAGTCTAAATCTATTGTGAAAATAAAATGGAAACTCATTGTCACAAAAACTAAACTAACAAAAACAAATATGTATATCAATAATGAAAAGTTTAAATTAAAAAAAATGTAGCATATATATTTTAAATGAGTAATTTATTTAGAAAAAAATATTAAGATTAAATTTTCATATAAACATATAAAATTGTTATTTAAAAATATCAATACTAACAAAAAAAATTCAGGTTAAATTATCAAAAAAGAAAGTCATCTAAAACTTATAATTTTGGGAGAAATATTTAAAACATTAACAAAAAAATCTTAACAAACCAACAATGATATTTTATGCTAATTACTGAAGAAAGCAATAAAAAAAATATTTAACTAACAAAAACCAAAACATAAATTATTTTTTACAACATGTCAATACAATTAAAATGAAAGTTCATACCGAGAAAGTTAAATTAAGAAAAAAAGAGGATATTAACTTAATATCTATGTTATTTATTTAACAAAATTAATATAAACAGAATAAATAAGAGAATAAAAAAAACTTAAATAATAATAAAAAAACTTAACTAACAAAAATAATATAAAGATTTAAGCTAATTATTTATGAAATCAATATTAAGAAATTAATTAACTAAGAAACTAAAACAAAAATTAAGTTTTACAAAATATTAGTTTAAAAAAAAACACTTAAGAATACAATGACTTGATATCTGACTAACTACTTAAAAAATTCATATAAATATATTTAACTAACTAAAAAAGTTATGTCTTCAAAATATCAATATTTTAAAAGCAATGGTGTGTTAAAATAAAATAAAAATCAATATCAACAGAAGTAATTATCAAAAGAAAAAGTCGTATAAAGTAAAATTAGCTTGATATTTAGGCTAACTACCAAACAAATATTAACTAAAAAAAAGCAAATGATGGTATAAGCTTTTGAGAGAAGTTCACTTAAAATTTAGAATAAAGAGTTATAGCATGTCAAAATAGCACTTTAATTAATTTAAAAAGTAAATTTAAGAAAGAAAAAGCAATTATGTAAAAGATATTAGCTTAATATATATGCTACCTATTTGAAAAATCAATAACAAAAGAGATTAATTAAAAATAGATATGTTTTAAGTATATCAAACCTGCAGAAAATTAGATAATTAAAAGAAAATATAAAATTACCATTGAAGATATTTAAAATAACAAAAAACAAGATCTAAGAAGAAATTAGTTTGAAATATAGTTCCAAAAACATTCATGATTTCTAAAATATTGGTGTTGACTATGAATAAACATATACAGTTTTAATAGGTTATACAAGTTTCTAAATCAAATATTTTATTTAAATATACAAAGATTAATACTTTAGTTGCGTCTGGTTAAAAAATTAACAAAGTAAAATACTACACAAGTAGCTTTACATTCAAAATATAATAAGTGATAAAGTCTGATTTGTATACATATTTACTGCTTATAACTTAGTCAACATGAACAACACATGAGCAACATCCTCTAAAATTTTATTTAAATTATATAATATGATAAAATTATGATTCAAATTCAAATGGGAATATATGAAGATAAAATATTCAAATCAAAACATGAATAAACATATAAAAAATAAAAAAAAAACAGTGGTGATGTGAAGTTTCAACATCATCTTACATGTTTAAAAACAAATATTAGCAAATAGTTGACTGCAAATATAACAGATCTTATAAACTGAATATATATATATAACATAAAACTCGTAGAAGATCTGGTGGAGAAGCAAAAAACAGCTTTACACGATTAGTGTAGCTTACTAACAAAAGTAAATCTGAATCAACATATATCAGATATTATATATGTATATGTACACAATATTAGTGAGACATTTAGTAAAAAAACTAAATATTTAAACATATAAACCTTGGAAAAAAAAGAACCATAGAAATCATAAGGATACAAAACAAAACAACAAAAATTTAGTAAGGAAATTATTTTTCTAAATCAAACATACGCACATCTAAGTTGGATAATTCGTTAGGTGTCATTACTATGATTTTACTTAATAAGATTTTTAATTTTATAAACAAAAATAGGAAATACTAAATATTATGTTTTATTTTTTTTTATATAAAAGAAATTTCTACAAATATATTATAGTTTTGATAATTTAAAAGATATTAGCCAAAAAAATAAACTAAATTATTAATACAGACTCACGCGTAGTGCGAGTTAAAAGTCTAGTAATATATAAAAGTTGATGGCATAATGCATTGAGGACGTCCACATGGAATTAAAAAACTCAATCTCATTGGTCCACATCAGCACATTCATTAAATAAAAAATGCTAAGTATGATTAGAACGGAAAAAGTTGATTTAATTGGTCTACATCAGCTTTTAAATCAAACTAAAAATTATTGAGTATACTTAAAACATTAAAAATTAATTTAACAAATTATGTCTAACAAAAAAAGTAAATCAACATATTTATAAAATCAGAAAATGTTAATATGGTTTAAAAATTTTAAAGTTCAATAAAAAATTAACAATTAACAATACATGTATAAAAAATAGTAACCATTATCAATTATCAATTGAAAAAAAAAATCCACAACAACTCGATTTAACAATTAAAATAATGAAAACTGAATAAAAATATAACATAAAACTCTTGGAAGACATGAATGGAGAAGGAAAAAATGATTTTGCATGATCATTACAGCTTTCTAACAAAATTAAATGTGAATCAACATGAATCATCGATTATATATGCAGTGGTACACAACATCAATAAGACTTTCAATAAAAATCTAAATATTTGAACACATAAACCTTCAAGAAAAAAAGAACTATAAAAATTCTATGGAAAACAGAAAATAATACCAAAATCTTAGCAAGATTATATTTCTCTAAATCAAATGTATATGTATGTCAAAATTAGATAATTTGATAGGTGTCATTGTTATTATTTTACATAATAATTTTTAAAAATTTAAAAATAAAAATAGGATAAATTACATATTATATATTAAATTCTCTTATATAAATGAAAATTTCTATGCATATATATATATATATATATTTTTAATAATTTTAAAGATAGTAGCTAAAAAAATAAACCAAAATATTAATAAAAACTCGCGTGTAGCGGGAGTTATATACCTAGTTATATATACTTTAAGTTTAACATTATTTGTCGTGAATATCTATTTATTATTAACCGTGAATAAAACTATGTCGTATTGAAAAATTCAATTTTTGATAATGATTTTGACAATGAGTGTGAGGTTATTGTTGCTAATCCTGCTGATTATTTAGTATTAAAACCCTATTTACCAAAAATACAAAAATGGACATTCAAATTATAAACTTATTCAATTTTGCCAAAATAAGTACTGATTCTTCATTGCTCCAAAATCATATAAATTATGTTGACTGAGATAAATTATATATATTTTAAGTCTAACATTATTTGTCGTGATTACCCATTTATTATTAACCATGAATAAAACTATGTCGTATTAAAAAATTCAATTTTGATAATGATTTTGACAATGACTGTGAGGCTATTGTTGCTAATCCTGCTGATGATTTAGTATTAAAACGCCATTTACCAAAAAAAGGAAAAATGGACATTCAAATTATAAACTTATTCAATTTTTCCAAAATAAGTATTGATTCTTCATTGCTCCAAAAACATATAAATTATGTTGACTGAGATCAATTATATACTCCCTCCGTTTCAAAATAAATGTCGTTTTAGAGTTTTATTTTTGTTTCACAAAGAGTGTCGTTTTGTATTTCCAATGCAATTTTCTAAACAAAAATCCTGTTTTAACTTTGTTATATTAATGTATTAATTAGAAAGAGAATGTTATTTTGTGTGTGAACAAAGGGTAAAACAGAACTTTTAATGTTTTTCTTAATTTGTGTGAAAAGTGTTAAAATGACACTTATTTTGAAACAGAGAGAGTATATTTTAAGTCTAACATTATTTGTCCTGAAAATCCATTTATTATTAACCGTGAATAAAACTATATTGTATTAAAAAATTCAATTTTTGATAATGATTTTGACAATAACCTGGCTCTGTTACCATTTTTCTTTAGTAATCCAAGGTTGTATACTTTATATTTTCTAGTATATGTATATTAAGTGTATAGATATAAAGTTTAAAAGAAGAACAAGTTTGTAAGAACTATAGTAAAGAAAGTTGTATGATTAAAACTTACTTTATTAAACTTTCCTTAATAATACAAAGATTGAAAACAAAATTTTAGAAGTACAAGGATGAAAATACAAAGAGAGTAGTAGGTGGGAAGCTTTACAATGTTTTCTCGCTGAAAAACACTCTGCTCTCTCTTTCTCAACTCTCCTTCCTATTTATACCAAAAGGTTGATAGAAGTAACGGTTGATGTGTCTTCATTACAATAAGGGATGATGTGTCTTGATTTTACATTTGAAGTTGCTGAGTAATCTTCATGCTTTTGTCTCTTGTCTCCTTGGGTCTTGAGTAGTCTGAATCCTTTTGTTTTTTTTTTATCTTCTTGGCTTTTGACGAGTCTTTATGTTGGCATAATTGATGATATTATTGTTTTCTTTTGATTGGTGATTTTGTCTTCATAGATAATCTTGGTTTCTTCTTGGTCTTGATTTTGCTTCAAGATTATAATATATACATATTACAATATTTACTTTGATATCTTTAGCCTTTATTTTTTTTTAATTATATACGTACATTTTTATGTTACATATTATGATTTGTAAATACTTATTTAACATATAAGAACACACAAAATTTATTTTTCCAAATTATATAAATTTTTTTCGAAAGGATCTTGAGATAATGGACCGCCATATGGGTTGTCATCTTGTGTAGCCTTGGGTATAGTGTCATATTCGTCTTCGGAAGAAGATATTTGCATTGCGATGGCTTCAAGGATTTTTTTGAGTTTATCTTTTCCCTTGGTTTTCTTGGATCCAGAGGATGATGTTGTTGACTCTGTTGGGTTGGCTGGTTTTATTTTTTGAGTGTTGGTGTTTATAGGTGGTAGTGCTCGGGATATCGCTGTCACAAATTGCTTGATTTGCTTGTGGGTTTGTATCCATTTTTCCAGGTTGGTGACAGAACATCGGTCCAAATTGTATTTGTCCCACCATCTGACTCGATATTCCCGGACCAAAGAGTATGGCATGTCTGGTAGAAAAGGTATGAGGTTAAAATGTCATGATAGGATCCAAGGTACCCCCATGTCAATGTGGAAGGATATTTTTGGTAAAGGGCTTGTGGGTTCATGTTTTTCGTGTTTAGTGTAGTAGGGTATGGATACTTTGAGTTTTTGTGGAGGGTAAATTTGGTCACATGGTCCAAACCAGTGCCACTATTCATAGAACCATCCGGGTATTAATTTGGGACAGTGAAAGTCAAAAGAGATAAACCAAGAATGGTCATAGGTACGTAGGTAAAAGGTATGAAGGAAAGCTTTTTGGTAATCTACGTAAGTAAATCCTGAAATATGGTACTCGGGAATAGAAAAGTCTTTTCTGGTATGGAAGTTAAAGAGTCCAAGGTCTTGAAGATTGCATATCCTGAGGATTTTACATGTGGGATAGGATATAAGTTCGGGGTTGGTTTTATCTGTATGGTGGGTTATTTCAACTGACTTGGTATCTACGAGGATAAATTCAAAAAAGGTTCGGTTTTTTGTAAGGTTGTCGGTGAGGTATTGGCTATCCTCGTAAAATATACGACTGGTAAAGTGGGTAAGGTCTTTCAGTGATATTGGTTTGGTGAATGATGTAGTAATGAGGTGTTGCTGGTGTTGTTTAAGGACATATGAGGATTTCTGGTCTGTAGTTTTTTGTGGAGAGGAAGGGGTGGCTGTTTTTTGAGGTAATGGGTTGACGACTTTTGCATAAGACAGATGTGGGAATTCTGCCAATGTAGAGAATTGATTGCTGGTGGTGATTTGTTTGCCTTGTAGATGTGGTTGATTCTTGACGTAGTCTGCTGCGGACATTGGCCTTTTTTGTTCACTCATTTTGGAGATCTTGAGATTTTCTCTGTAAATACTCTCTTCTTAGGAAACCGGATAAACAATTATTTTTACCTTTTATATATTGTATATCAAAATTAAAGGCAGATAAAATAGCTTGTCATCTTGCAAAAAATTGTTTAGAAACTAGATTTTTAACATCTTTTTGTAAAATCTCTTTTGCAGATTTGCAATCAACACGTAATAAAAACTTTTTGTTTATCAAATCATCTTGAAATTTAGAAATACAGTTTACGATAGATAAAACTTCTATTTTAACTGTAGAATAATTCTTTTGGGGCCCAAGCCAAACTCTATAATGAAAACAAACTATTGACTCATGGGTTGACTCTGACATTTTTTGTTTAAGGATTCCCCCGTAACCTATTTCAGATGCATCAGTTTCTACTATCATAAATGCACTTGGATGTGGAATGACTAAGCATGGTAAGGGTGTGACTTTCTTCTTAATATCTTGGACTACACTAGTATGAAAACTAGACCATGGGACTGGATTCTTTTGTAATCTCTGAAACAATGGTTGAGTAAGTTTTCGTATATTGGGTAAAAAATCTGATATATAGTTTAAACATCCTAGAAATCGTTGTAGTTGAGTTTTTTCTTTTATTTCATCTGTTCTATAGACCTGAATATAGGTGTCATAGTTCCTTGATATATATTCTGTCCTAAAAATCTTATTTTTGTTTGAAATATTTGCATTTTTTTTTGCTGATACTACTAGTCCATGTTTTTTAACAATACTTAAAAAGTATATAAATGTTTAAAATGTTGTTCAATGAATTTTGAAAGTATTAAAACATCATCTATGTATACTATTGAAAAAGTAGAGTAAGCGTTAAATATTTCATTCATATTATTTTGAAATTCTGATGGTGCATTTTTTAAACCGAATGGCATAAAATTCCATTCATAGTGCCCAAAAGGTACACTGAATTCAGTTTTATATTTATCCTTTTCAGCTATTTGTATATGCCAAAATCCACTTTTCATATCAAATTTTGAAAAGATACAGGCATCATATAATCTTTTTAATAAATCTCTTTTATTTGGTATAGGGTATCTTATCCATTGTAAAACATTGTTTAAAGGTTTATAATTAATTACTAGGCTAGGTACCCTTTTTTCTTTTTTTGTTTGATTGTTGACATAGAAAGCAGAACAACTCCATGGTGACTTAGATTTTCGTATTAATTTTTTGTCTAATAGTTCTTGTATTTATTTTTTTACAATATTCTAAAAGTTCTTGATTCATTTGAATTGGTCTAGCTTTAGTTGGTATATTTTTCTCATTGAAATCCTTTTCATATGGAATTTCAACAATATGTTTTTCTCTTTGCCAAAATGCATTTGGGAGTTCAGAACATACTTGCTCTAATAATTCATTTTCTAATTTTTTAACTCTATTTATTATTAGTGGGTCATGTAATTGCTGTTCAATATTTTATATTTTATTTTTTGTTGTAAGTATTGAATATGTTTTTGTTTTCCATTTATTAGGTTTATAGATTTTTCTATTGTAGAATTTTGTAAAGCTAAGATTTCTTTATTTTTCATGGGAGATAAAAATTCAAATACTATCTTTTTGCCTACAATTTTGGTGGTTATTCCTGATTGTGTAATTTTAAAAGAATAGATTTGTGTAAAAAAGGGCGTTCCTAATATAACTTCTTGACTTAAATCTTTAACAAGGATAAATTGTGCTTTAAAACAATAATTTTTATTACAGATTTTTGCTTTTGGAAGTTTATAATTAACTTTCAAACTATTTCCGTTTGCACTACTAAGTTTTTCACATATTTTTTCATAATACATGGTTGAGACTATTCCTTCTTTAATACAATTATAATCTGCTCTTGTATCTAATAATGCTATTATATCTAGTTTATAATCATATCCTATGTGTAATGTTTTTTGTATACCATTTTTGATAGTTTATTTTGTTTATTATTTGGATATATTCTTCTTCATCTATAATTTAATCTTTGTTTTGACTGTTATTTGTAGATGTGTGATCTGGTATGGTGGATATCGATTGGTGAATTTTGGGTTCAATTAAGGTTAATCGAGCATTTATCTGTAGTTGTTCTAGTTGTTGTTGATGAACTATATGTTGTAGTTCTTTTACTTGAGTTTTTAGATTTTTAACTTCTCCTTGTAGTTCTCCAGTAGTTACTTTTTTAAATAATGTTGGAGAAGGGTATTTTTCAAGTATTTTATTAAGGCTAAATGGTTCTAGAGTATATAGCTTATTTTCTTTATATCTATACACTTAATATACATATACTATAAAGTATGAAGTATATAACCTGGGATTACTAAAGAAAAATGGTATCAGAACCAAAACTCTTGGCTAATTATATGTTATGTTTCACAAAGCAAATTTCTTAAATCAGTTTTTGACAAAAGATTTTATGCTTAAAACTTATCTTCAGTCTCTTGCTAAGCATTTTACCAGAACCTTGTCAAGAACTTCGTCAACATAGGTGTTCCAGGCAGTAAGTCCTAGTGGCAGTGAGACCGTTGGTAAGCCACATAAACGTCCGTCCTTGATAAGTCCGGGTTAGTTTGCATGTTGTCTCGAGTCTAGGTAAATTTTAAAGCATGACATCTTCTGTTAGAAAGCGGCTTAATGATGTAAGCATCAATGCTTATATCAAGAAGAAACACAAAGGAGAGGAGCTAGAACCTGTTTTGCTTGAAGATAAGGATCAAGAGAGACATGTAGCTGTTTTCAAAGAAGATAAGGACTTAACAATAAAGCACTGTCATTCTATGCATCAAGAAGGACGTTCTGATCAAGCTAAACCATGGCTGGTCCAGTTTATTTCAAAAGAAGACCAAGCCAAATCACCAGAATCACCAAATCACATGAATGGACCAACATTCACATGTTCAAGACCATTTATGGAAACTAGGAGCTGCAAGACATATTATTCAACCAACCCCACGTCCCATGAAGCTACTGAGAAGATTAAACCACCTGTGGTTCAATTTAAATAATCACTTACCCAAGAAGATCCAACCAAGTGTATATATGGACATACATGCAAGTATATGGAGCCATTCAAGGAAACAAGGACCATAGTTTATACCAACATCTCATTCACGCCTCCCTTGAGGTTTACAGAGTTTACCAAGATTCCTAAACCACCTGACCAAGCCAATAACCGAATAAAATCAGCCTAACCCAAAGGAGAAACTACCATGAAGACAGTTACCTTAAAAGGATTCATTATCTTTGTTTCTTTGGAAAGCAAGACCAGTTCTCTCTTATATTTGAAGATCTCGACCCTACATTCAAGTCAACACATCATGTACGTCCATACAAGTCAGAAGAGTCAAAGATCACACCATTTCGTCCCCCAGATGAAGCTATCTTACAAATCAAGCAAATCCCCTCCATTAAGCCAAATGGCTAGTCTTTCATCACACCATACTTTCATCCTTTGTTATTAATCATTGTTACCGTTTATTACATTTATATTCAAGCCTATATAAGCTCAACATCATTGTACTTTCGAAAGTTACCAAGAAATAATCAAGAAAACCCTTTTGTTTTGTTTACAAAGAAGATTTATTTGCATCAAACCTGTCCCTGCGAATTTAAACCCTTTGTGGAATCAGAGTGTTTGTATTTCATGTAGAGTCTGACTATTCTTGTGAGGATTATCCCTTGAAGAGTTAGAGTCCAAATCATGGTGTTTGGGATTCAAACACAAAAGGTTTATCAATCAACAAACCATTCCTCCATCTATCTAAGCCTGAAGATCAGATTCAAGAGTGTATAACTTGGAGCAACCCAGTCTTACATCACTTAAGTCTAAACATGCATCTTCTTCTGCATCTCAAAAACAATTAATTCAAGAGAAATAATGTCAAAAATTACCAATTTTAATAAAGAAATATCTTATGATCAATTACCTCATGTTAATCCAGAAAATATATATCAAATAGGAACTTTTGATTTTAAAACAGCATATTCAATTAAAGAACATAAACAGACTATATCAGTAAAAAATGAATTTGAAGAGATTAAATTGCTTTCTTCTATGGCCTTAGAAAGTTATAGGCAAAAAAAAAATTAATTATATTAATTTTGGATTAATACAAATAGCAATAAAATCACTATCTAGAACTGGGATAGATTCTTCTATACTTATGCTATTAAGAGATAAAACTCTATTAAAATTTGAAGACTCCTTATTAGGAGCTATACAATCAAATTTATGCAATGGAGCTTTATATTCTAATTGTGCTCCAAACTTTCAAATAAGTTTATATGATCCTACTATGTTTAACACATTAGTATTAAACGTACACTTACCAGAAATTAAATTTTAACAAGAGAGACATGTCTATTTATTGTTGTACCTAATTTATTTCAAGCAATCTACATCTGAATTTAATCCAAGATGTTTCTTGCAAGATAATAAAGGTGAAACAACAATATTAGCAGTACATAGTAAAGATACTCCAACATCTACTTACACACCTAAGTAACTAAAATGGACAGAAATAATAATTCCTGACCAATGGAAAATTTATATTACTCAACCACCAAGAAACTTTGAACAAAAAACTATTACTAGTATAACAGAACAGGCTGATAGAAAAATACTATTAAAATTTGGATCTTTAAGAGAACCACCCTCATTAAGAATCAGCTCAATTTATCCTAGATCCTCTTTTTCTGATTATAGAACTGGTAGAACTAGTACATAATCAGAAGAAAGTGTAGAACAAATTTTAACTAAAAATCAGGAGAAAAGACCTTTTAATTTTCAAGCACCTATTGCAGAACCAGTTCAGAATTCTGAAGTAGGATCTAGTTTACCCACTTCTCCAACATCCTCTGATTTCAAATATATAAATATTATTTTGGGCAGTAAAGAATAGTATCTCTCGCATCAATTTATAATACAAACAAACAAAAATATACTCATTATTTCATTTAGTATATATATATATATATATATATAATAAAA